AGGAAACATTGGTTCGCAACACGATAGAGAACACGGAAAAGTTGCTCTTAAGCATTTCTTTTGGGTAAAGAGCTTCACTGTCGCCCAGTTCAATACCACACTGAACTTAACGGGACCACGTGTGCTTCTTCAATCCTGGGGCTTAAATTATGGGTTTCCATGATTGAATAGCAGGTGCACGTGACTATGGGGTTTCAACATTTTATTGCTCATCAAACGAGTGCAGTAAAAAATTGAATATGCCGGTGCATTGGTATCTCCGAGACCTGAAAATAGTCAAATTATAAATAACGAATAGAGATATTTGTTTTGGCTAACACAGAAACGGCAAGTCGATTACAAATACAGAGGTCCCGTAAAGAGTGGTTATTAGCTCGAAACCAGTAATGAGAAGATGGCATTTAAAGTACAGTTGTTTTTGGGTCTAGGAGACAATCGTGTATTGCAATATTTACAGAAAATCGCCGTTGTCTTCGAAAGAAATTGCCTCAAGATTTTTAATACCCACAACTTTTAATCTGATTCGCTGGGTACAACAGCTCAAATCATTAGACCATAACTTCTAAATTTCACTGGGAAATTCCGATGCACCACCGACTGCGATTCAGCAGCATGTATTTTCGGCGACAAAGCAAGTGGCTATCAAAAGCGTCCCTTCAGCTATGGTGATAAGTACACTCGCACTCATTAGGTTCGCCGAGTGCGAAGAATTATCAAGATCTCTTGAAATTTTAAATTCCATTGTAGATAGTCAACAAGAACAAATACGTGAGGCATCATGCACTAGTGCAAACTATAAAAGTTCGGGATTATGTTGGCAATAAAATCGCATTTTCCACTGATGATCAATAAAAAACAAACGCTGATAACCGAGGGGCGGGTAGCAGCAAAACTCACTTTCAAATGATGCGCATCAAACGGCAACGAGCCGCTGACCAAAGTATACAAAATCACACCCAACGACCAACAATCAACCTCCGGACCGTAGTACTTCTGACCCTGAAAAAGCTCTGGAGCAGCATATGGTGGACTCCCACAGAATGTGTCCAGTTTATTCTCCCCGTCATAGAAATTGGAGAATCCGAAATCAGCCAATTTGATGTTGTAGTCCTCATCCAAAAGTAGGTTTTCCGCCTAACAGAAAAAATGATACAATGAATAAGATGACGGCGCCAAGAACGAACAGGATAAGTGGAACAAAAGGAATAGAAATCAAACATAAGAGAGAAGAAAGAAGAAGAATAGGAAATCGGAAGCACCGGAGATGAAACAAAACCGTCAATTGCAAAACCGAAAAAAAATATAAGTGCACAACTATACCATGAGGATCTGCGACTTTGAAATGAACAAACTGCAAGTTCTTCGATCTGTATTTGACGATATTTGTGGATAGTTCAGGCCAAAATACTACCCAAGGAAAATGGAAAATAAACAGAGCCTACCTCTAGCCTAACTATCGGTTGCCTAAGCATTTAAAAGTTGTCATACAAGAACGATTTCGATTCTGTTTGTGAGGATCACGAAGCTGCTCTTTAGATACCCACTACAGCCAACGGAATTCGAAAAGTTTCCAAGATGCGTGAATTAACGTTCGTGTGCTGAGTTCAATTTAGAAACAGACGGGATTTTCACAATGGCACATACAAATCTCTCGATGAACGGAATAGTTTTGCATCGGGACACTGAGAGACGTATGAGCAGTCAATCATTTCAGAACGCTTGCATAAAGTCGCATTGGTGACAGATCGCTCGGAGAAAAAAATGGACTGTCAATAATAGGAAATGTAAGTCTCACTCCCATGGTAAACGTATCACAAACAACCGTTATTTTCTCATCGGAAATTGGGGCAACACTTGTCCCAGTTTGATTTTTTGGACAGAACTAGTGTGTGGTGTCTGCCGGGCTACGAATTTCAGTCTTTTGCAGGTAACGAGAAATGTATATGCAAAATATGCATAACAACACATGATCATTGAGATAAAGGAATATCACAAAAAATGGCTTTGGAAATGGGAAGAATGAAAACAAACGGATTAGGAAAACACAGTAGAGAAAGTATGAATCAAAAGCGGAATGTTCAGTGCTCAAATGATGTAAGTTGCTTCGGTTGTCCGGTAAAGTAAAAAAAACCCATCAATTTAGTATAAGTCTGAAGAAACGCAAATACGCCCTGTTTCCCAAAGTGAACTTGAGATACTCAAGCTGAGCGTTGTGTACTCAACCGCATAACAAATCTTATTCGGTGACGACAAAATGATGGAATCAGTATACTTTTTCTCGTTACCACAAGCAATCGAGGCATTTTCATAAGGATGCACTATTGCACCGGCGAGATTTTGTCGCCCCTTCTCACACGCAAAATGGAATCGAGTTCACGAGTTACGACAGCAGGACACCATGAAAAATACAACCCCCAACAGACAATGATGATGAGTACACTGTAAGTGATATAAAAAACTGCTACAAGTAAAATACTTTCAAACATATTTTGTTGGGATTCATTTTGTACCAAGTTGGATCTCGCATTCCGTGGGGGTAGTTGGTATGTGGTCTGTAGGCATTTGCTGATTCCATCGTAAGGGAAATTCATTAGTAAACAATTCAAGTAACTCTCTAACAAATGGGGGAGGGGAAAAGCGATATCAGACAACACTCTACTTCTAAACGAAAAAGAAAAAATAAGATAAGAGAGGACGAGATTTTGATAAAATACAATATATCAGTAATTGCTTGTGTGTGTGTGAACAGCTGTGAGATTACTTGGATAATGATAGTTAGAAAACTGTTATCCAGGGCAACATATCTTCAAAAAACAAAAATACAAACATGAAAAACTCCATCCCCACCAGATGCATGGATTGGATTAGGTAAAACGACACGTAGGAAGCATGCAACACATCTTCAGAATGTCTTTCTTTAGGAAAAACAACACCAATTCGGTCAAGAGGACTGTAAAAAGATAAACGCATGGCAGGCCGGATGGCAATTAAACACAAAACTGTAATTAGAACAAACAGAGGGAGATTGAAATAGCTATTTTTGCATTCAACTAACAAGCTGGAAGAAACACATTTGATGTTATTATAATAAATTAGAGCACACATATACAATAGTTCTCCAGCTAACATAACCCATGGAAGCAAACGGTAGCACACTATATCCGTGTCAAACAAATTTTGTGTGAACACGCTCAGCCGATCACAATTGGCAAATGAAGTAGAAACGACAATCATGAAGCAAAAACAAATAAAATCGATGAAGCAAGCGAAGCCAATTTGGGTATCCATACTTGCCCAAAGTATCATTCGTGTTTTTGGGTACGTTGGTGAGTGGAGAACACAATAATGCAGTACACAACAGGGGATGATTACAGGCTATTTCATCCTGCATTGTCACCGCGTAAATTGCACGACTGGAAAACGCTGAAAGTAATACGCGACTGTCCAATTCTTCAGGCTTAAACCAGAAAGCGCGAAGTTGTGAATTTATCACCAAAACAACTGGGGTTGGCTCTAACGGACAGTTTCAGGTAAAAACTACATATTCGTCTCTGGCATTGAACATTTACTAGACAGATATCGATTTCTTCAGTAACGGTGATCGAAAGGAATAACCGGTTTCCTGCAGTCATGTTTAGCAACTCTCATAGACACCCGAAAACAGATTAATATCAAAATATGAACATCTGAAATATGGTACACAGTGTGGTTACTTTTACAGCTGCGCATACGTCCAAAACATAAAAGAAAAACAGTTGGGAAATTTCATCAAAAAACAATATATGACAAATTCATTTGAAATGAAGAGCTGAATGCTATGTACAATGACCATTTCTAAAGAGAATTAGGCGAACAATTGCTATCAAATATTAAATCAGCTCCGGATAGATTGCTTAAGACGAGAGTCTATATGGTAGTATATTGATGTTTAAAATCAAGCTTGTGTGAATGTTTGTTCTCTACATACGTGTGCGCGATTAACGGCATGAAATTGTCCTGATGTGTGAAACCCTTGGTGGCTTGAGAATCACATCACATCACAGGGCAGTCGACCATGTTTGTACCCAGACACAGACACACATACACACATTGGAACTTAAACAAACAACGCATGTGATGCGAATAGGAATCGGGCACGAATATGAGAGAATTCATTGAGAATCTGGACAGAGGCAATAAGGAAGAAAAGATAAAGAAAGAAAGCAAGAAAAATATGTTCTAGAGCAGTGAGTTATGAAGTTGTTTGATCACACGGTTATCGGTAAATAGAATGCTTGGAAAAGATGACGCTCGATTTAGGTAGTTACTGACATCCCCAAGTGTAGTAACGATAGATTCACGAAGCGTATTCGTACTTGATGTTTACATGAGGCATCAGCCAAGAAATGTGACATTTGACACAGAAAGAAAACACTGTGTTCATTACTAATCAGCTGCATTCTAATAGTACTGTATATTCTGAACCACATTTATTACAATAAATCCGCTAGACGCATACTAAGACGAAGGACATTTCATTTGTGGGTAAAAGAACGAAGAAGTTCAACAAAAAACTGGATTCATTTTGTCAACTCGAGTTAGAATTAGTTGTTCACGTGAAGATCACCGTTTTATATTGCCGCATTCCAGGAGTACGTACCGTACTATTTCGGGATTTATCTACTAAACAGCTAAACACTTCGAGAAGTGTGATGTGGAACCCATAGAGTATAGTGATGATAAAGAGAAAAAAGAAGGGCAAGATGCTGACAGTGCATACAAAAAGAAATCACTGAAAAAAAAATGATCGAGAGCGAAATGCGAAAGAGAGAAACTGTTGTAGACCTATTGTAAGAATTGTTTGCTTTATATCATCAATAATTTTGTGATTGACCTGGAGAAAACCTTCATTTAGCATATTTTTAAGGATCATTTACATAATTGAAGGGCCTTCAAAAGCAAGTTCACGTTGACATTTCAGGTTTGTTTTTGTGCTGTGCACCTAAAAAAACAATCAATAAGATTGTAGACAACCAACTTTGACGGGCTCTGAGAATAATGCGAAGTAAAGCTTATTTGATTATTCTACAGCACACATGCATTTATTTTTTCAGTTCATTGGTTTACACCTGGTGATTGACAAGTGAGTCATGGGTATTGCAAACAAACTACTATTATAACAAATTCAAATTCGCAGTACTAAAACTTACAGATACACTTTGCTCGCATTACGGTCCACTTGTGACCGGGAAATCAGGGGAAAAGCGATGGAATGCACTCATTGCCATCACATCGGTGGTGGTGCTGTTTCAGATCGATCGCAGTTGGGTTACCGCGACTACAGCAAATTGAATATGCTACGTGTAGGCGGATGCACACAGTAGAACTGACCAGTGATAATAACAATACAGTTAGAAATGACACGTGAACATTGCATTGTGATTTATCGAATTCACAGAACACGCGTCATACAGTGAGAATACAGAATAAAGGTCGTCGTATCGATCTGGCTGAGTCATATATGATAAACTGTCATACATGATGGAGCATGATTCCCAGAGAGATGCACCGTTACGTGACAGTACATGTTGCTAGTGTGTACGACAGACACAATATCTCAGCACTGAGTGAGCGTGTCACCCACATCTTTCCCTGGCCACTCGTGCACGATAGCGTTAGGTTTAAAGTTGTGGCAGAGAATGACTCACGAAGAGTGAAAAGAAAGAAAGAAAACCAATTTGTTGCAATCATCAGGACGAAACGACATTTCACATCTGTACCTTACATTCCACGCTTAGTTCTCGTGAATTCTGTATTTTGACCCTGACACTGATTTGAACATTGCCGTCCAAATAGATGACCATGAAACAGCAACAAAACTCAAAGCACTCAAGTGTAGAGGTCATGGTTGCAAAAACCGCAGATGAAGCAGTGAAAGCTAGTCATAGGACTTAAAACAACCTCAGGTATGAAAATACAGATATTTAAGAGTCGACAAACATTTTTTTATAAAACATTTGACTAAACGTGGGTTGCAGTCTGTGTGTGTGTTGGTTAAGAGGACGTACCCATTGCATCTCTCGGGGTGGCAACTGCTTACTTTGCACGGTTCTCTAAGTGGTACAGTGAACAACCGAATGCTGACTGGGATCCAACTTTAGTGAGTCACACTAAAGGCAGCAAAAATAGGAGTATCATGGCTCCAAGAAGTACCTGAGTTAAACCCCAAGAAGTTGTTGAATGGAGACGTCAATCGGACGATGAGGCTGTAAACTTCGATAAACGTATCTTGCACAGAACGCATCGATGGTTAAAGGCTGCAGAGAGCCAGCTAAACATGCCGT